TTTATGTTACTGTGGCTGTTTGTTCTTGTTTAGAGGAGAAGTTGTGGTTGGGTCTGGCCAAGATGCCTGCATTTAATGTTCTGGATTTTTCTGCCTCTCCGTATACGCTTTGTTCTGAGGCCAGTAGAAGAGAAAAAGCAAAGTGGAGAGTGGGTACCTCTGTCGTTTTGTAATTTGCACATAAAAAGTGCGCTCTGGTCCTACAGTATGTTGTGCCTTTGTATTGGTTTGTATTTGGCTACTTCATACAAATTTGAATTGATTCTCTGTGGCTGCTTATTTGCGTGTGGTAATTATGTGTTTTCATAAGATGGTTACAGGCTCCTGAATTTTTTACCTGGATAATCTAAAGCAGAGGTACCCAAACTCGGGCCTGGAGAGCCAGTGTCCAGCATAGCTTGGCTCCAACTTCCTTTAACACGCCAGCCTGAAAGATTCTAGTATATAAAATTAGCTTGATTAGCTGGTTCAGAAGTGTTTAATTGGGTTTGGAACTAAAATATGCAAGACACCGGCTCTCCAGGACCGAGTTTAGACACCCCTGATCTACAGGTAACCACACACACTATTAAAACCAAAAGGGTTCGCAAGCATTTGCAGGGGGTACAGGTTATTAAAATCATACATACACAAACTTAAAATTATTTATACAGTATACATATACATACATATATACACACACACACACACACACACACACACACACGCACACACAGTATATTTATTGTATATTTACAGTATACACCAGGCGTGACCAACCCTGTTTCTGGCGATCGACCTTCTTACAAATTTTATTTGCAACCCATATCAAACACACCTGCCTGTAATTATCAAGTGCTGTGCAGATTCTAATTGATTGGTTGAGCTGTGTTTATCAGGGTTGGAGCTGAACTTTGCAGGAATGTCGATCTCCAGGAACAGGGTTGAGCACCACTGGTATACACTGTATAAAAAATTCTGTTATTTTATCCCAGCTGCCGGAAAAAAAAGTTAAATAACGACAGTTAAATTACAGAAATTTACTGTATTTTTTTTATTTAACCTCTGTTATTTAACAATAAATTTATATAATTTAACGTATGTTATTTTATGGTACATTTCTGTAATTTAACAGCCATTATTTTTATATCAGTGTATAGATGTATTTTTGTATAGTATGTCTTTATTAAGTTTTTTCAAGGTTTTACAATAAATCAAACCCCAATACCCAAAACTTACCAAAGACAAATAATAAAAATAAAATAATAATTATTATAAAATAAAAAAAATTTAAAAAGAGAAAAAAATCTAAATAAATAAATAAATAAAAAGAAAGAAAGAAAGAAAGAAAGAAAGAAAGAAAAAAGAAATCTAATCAAACACCAATTCACATTAAACACCAACATAAAGCAATACAATGTCTTGCTTGTATTAAACATAAATCGATCAATCTTCTTTCTTTAGTAGACAAAACACAACTGTCCTCATACATATTAAATATGCATTATCCATGACTTAACGGAATTGGAATGGAAATAAATTTAAATATATTAAGTCACCTCAGGGTTTGAAGAGATGATTTTCTCTTAATATGTTTTATTATTGTGTAATTTGTCCTTTGATGGAACTTTTTAGATGTATTTTTAGTATTACGAAACTAGGTTTGATTTAAATGTTGATATTTTTATTGTCAAAAGTTCTGATTATATTTTTTCAAATAAAATCAATTTTTTTATAACTATCTATGTTTAGTTTTGTAAATATTTTTTTTTTATCCTTACCATTTTTTTTACTTTGAACTTTGTGTACTGTATATAAGTTTTCAAAGGAAAAAAAATGTTACAGACATACAAACTAATGAAGTAATTGGGAAAATGCCAATTAAATATGCATATAAACTGATAAATACTGATTATCTGGAAATTCTTGCCCACTCTTAGCTATTAGTGTGTAATTCTGCGTTTAGGTTCAGTCCCTCCTCTCCCTCCAGCAGATAACAACTAAAGCAATCATGGCCATTACTTGCTGAACGCTTCCCAGTCTGGTAGCAGATGTTAGGGCTAAAGGGGAAAGCATTTAAGGACTTTGATTGATGATTTCGAGTAATGAATCAAGTTTGTAACCAGTTCAGAAAACTGTCAGATAGGCCCCGCTTCCACCATAAAGCAGTTGGAGAGGAACACAAAGAGAAGTAATGCTGGGAAGAGCCGTCAACGACTGTCAATGCACAGCCATCCCTCCAGAGGCCTTCTGGGAAAACAATTACTGGGCAAATTCAGAGGAGCACTTTAACATTAGCAACCGGGAACAGTGTCCGCCTGTCAGTCTCTCAGGCTGCACAAGAAGCCCGGGGATTGAAGAAGCCCCTTTACGGAACAAGCAACTATCATTTTATCTGGCCTGGTTCGTGTACAGTAGTATAATCTATGACGAGATGACATTTGGGGCTCTGATCTATGCTGTTATTTCCATTATAAACTGCAGCTGGAGTTGATGTGTCTGCCGTTTTTCGTTTCAAGGTTGTGTGACTTTGGCTAAAGATCCAGCTTACCTGTTCTAGTTGTTCAGAACTAGTAGCTTGAAGAAGATCTGCCTTTATTCCTTTGTTTTGTAGTTCTGTATCATTTAAGTAAATAATCTATTAGCTATGTTTCCATCCAACTATTTCGAACTATGACGGAAACATTTTTACCGAACAAATTTCAGTATGCGCATTAAAAACGTCATGTGATTTTGTCATAGGAGATCATGTAAGGATAAAAATGTGTGTGAATGGACAAACCAGAAGGCTGAGCACTTTATTAAACATCTGAAATGTTGTTTTGGTCATTCTAACATATTGACCATTATGAGTATTACTGTTATTATATTATTAATGACCTCCAGAACTACCAAGGGTGTCCCTGTTTTGTGTCTTATGCCTTCAAACGCCAAAACACGTTCATTGCATGTCGGCATCGTCTTCTGAGGCGCAAGTCATTTATTAAATAAAGAAAAGATTGACGCAGCAAATTCTGTCTTTACTGTTGATATTTGGTGCCAGTTAATCAGGAAGTGACCATTTTATTCTCTTTGACTTGTAGGATGGATCCGCTGCTTTATTCGCACGTCTTTTATGTGATATTTCTATTTTGCGCATACATTTAATTTGCATCTTTGGATATAAACATGGCTACTTATTTGCATTCAAAATATGACTATTTTGTTATGAAATGTATCTTAAATGAATTGTTCGATTAAATTAATTAATCACTCAGTTTTAAGTTATTTTTAAAAATGCATTACGATATTGAGTTACTCCCCAATAAAGTAAATCATTGAGTTACTTAATTACTTTTTTTTGGTAAGTATTGCGTTACATTACTTTTGAGTTACTTTTACGTTACAGTTTATTACCTGGCTGAGGCTTGATCTTTTAATACTTGTTTCTTTTTTAATATAGGAGTTCTGCAATTAGAAACACACTGTATTACCTAAACCTTCATTTACGTTTAAAAACACATCCAAAAATATATATATTAGGATAATGTTTTCTGTGAACTTCCTGACCCCAGAGCTCATTTGTTTGCTACTTTTGTACTATTTGTCTATAGTAAAAACACTGTCCATTGAGACTATAATCCCCCTTTCCTTTTCTTTGATGCTTTAAAAATAATGAACACATTCTCTCATTGACTGCATGATTCATTGTGACTATAATTTAATTTAGCAGTTTAAAAAAATCTAATTAAACTAAAAAGCAACTCACTTTAAATTTTTAAAAATTAACTTAAAGTAACATTTGTAAAAGTAAAAAAATGTTATTACTGAATTAAAATTTAATGATTTTTTTAAAAGTAATAAAGAGCTGTTGCCTTAGCTTGGTCAGTTGGCATTTCTGTGTGGATTTTGCATGGTTTCCCGTGTTGTCTTGGGTTTCCACCAGGTGTTCTGGTTTCCCCCACAGTCCAAAGACATGTGCTGTTGTTGAATTGGGTAAGATAATTGCCTGTAGTGTACTGTATGAGTGTATGTCTTGGTCCTCCAGACTGCGGGTTGAGCATTGGGATAACAACCCAATTCCGCTAAATATCAACTTCGATATAAATGATGCTGGGAGTAAGTTAGTTATGCATTACTTTACTCGTTACTTAGAAAAGAAATATTATTACGTAACTCACATTACTTGTAATGTGTTTCCCCCAACACTGTTTGTATGTATTAGTGAATTTTGAATCAATCCTTTAAGTAAATAAATAATTAATTGACATAAAGATATTCACTTGTTTAATTTGGAGATAAATCACTCACTTGAGTAAATGAACCTCCAACTAACTTTTAAAGGCATTCACATATTTGTTTGAAAATAAATGAGTGTTTTTGAGTGAATATTTGTGTGAATAATTCATTTATTCACAAATAAAAATTGTCATTTGTTTTGTTTAGAAAAAATGGCTTATAAAGAATTAATATTCTAAATGAGTAATTGATTCACATTGACAGTCACGTACTTTGTTCAGAATTGTAGTAATGTTTTTGAATTGATCAGTTTTCTGTCATTTATTTATCAGTCATACAGTCAGACCCATTTCAACAATCACTTGCTGTGTGTACAGGGTATTATTCAGATGAATCAATGATTGATTGACTTCCTCATTGTCCATCATTTTTTTCAGCTTTTTTTTTTTTTGGCTGAAGATACAGCCTACCTGTTATATTCATTTTTGTAGCAATTCAAAGCAGATCTGCCTTTGCTTATTATTTCTGCCGCTCCATTCAGATATAGTCAATCTATTAAGGATGTTCTGTTAAAATCACTCAGTCAAATCCATTCTGCACGGCAACATTTATCATTGACAGTAAATAGCGAACAGCAAGAAACAGGAACAGTTAATTTAATCCAAAGGGCCTTGGTGTGTTTGTGTTGTCATAACAAGTGCCTGTTGCCATTAAGAGTTGTTTGTGGAGATTTAATTTGGTCAATGTGCCGCTCTTGAGGTTTATCAGGCATGTTTTGCACATTAGTATTGTTTGTCTTCCAGGCCTGTACGCTGGCTCCAGCACGACACACAATGGAGCCCCACTTGAGTTGCTCTCTTCTGGACCTGACCTGCCACCCAGGCAGCCCCGCATGGACCGTGACATTGGCAGCCCCCATCATCTCTCCCCGCTGTCCGGCCTCGAGAACACCCGAGAAGGGTAAGTATTGAACCCGCCGAGCTTCATTTTTACTCCCAGTTGCTCTGACATACATGCAGGGCGGATGAGCTCAATGAAAATGATGTCAGGGGGTTGTCATCAGTTATGGATATCACTGTAGTAATAGTTACACATGCTGGGACTGTTCCAATTAGTGAGCTGTCGCAAAAAGGCTGTTCCAAGAGATATCTCCTTTTGACCCGATTCCACAAACGCAATTCCACAATTCACTATGATGTTCTTTGAGTGATTCATCCAGGATGTCTGAGTGAGAAAACATTGACTTTTCAATAAATGACAAAAATTAAACACTCACTTAGTAATCTCTACTGAATGAATCATGAATCAGTTCAGTGAATGATTCATTAGTATACTCATAGCCTGTTGTTTCTTTATGAAATGACTCATTGGCTGTAATCAGAATAACATATCAGCATACTATTTTTACTAGTTTTGCCATAAAAGGAATTAGTGAGTAGTGTGCTATTCTTAACCACTGATGTTGAATGAATTGGTTAATTCATTAAATCACTTAAAAAGTCAATCGATGCTTATGACACATAATATACTGCATTTTCAAAACTTCACAACTATACTCTTATTTCAAGGGGCCGCCATTTTAAAACACGAAAGCTAGGCTGCGATGGGAAGAAACCCGGAAGTATAGGGTCAGCACTGTAAACATTGAAACATGCTGTGGACTATAAACCTCCAGCTGTTGCCGCCAAAACGCAGATATGTTGTAAACATCACTTTAATATCATTCAGTTAAGTTTAATTTAAACAATTTAAAGCATATTAGGCATCAAACAAAATCACAATCTCTTTAAGAGTAATACACTTACTGTAAGTATCCTCCTAGGTTTCAGTTCATGGCACCAGGTAAACACAGTGGTGGCTTTCCTGCATGCTTCAGCCTATGTAACCCGGTGAGCAATAAAACAATGCACTGCTCTTCGTAGCACACCCTCGTGTTATCGGTAATACTGTCCTGGTACTGGAATTTTTTAAAAACGTCCATTTCCCGCTAACATTCAAGGCCGCATTCATGAGCACGCTCTAAAAGCTGATTTGCCATTGTGTTCACAATTGCTCAACAGAAATGATTGTGATTGGCCATGAAGGTGCAAACACTCCTGAGTGCAAACACTGATGCACAAAGATTGGAGCGTTTTAAAGGTGCAAAGATCAGTCGAGTCATTAGCAGATTGCTAGTTTGTGTTTGCACTCGTTGAACATCGGTGAAGTGCAGTGAACTGAAGACCTTCACAGCCAATTACAGTAATTTCTGTTGAGCACTGGTGAACACGATGGCAAATCAGTAGTGTTGCAGTGTTGCATGTTCCCATCTCTGGGAAACATCCATACACACTCATTCACACTCATACACTACGGACAATTTAGCCAACCCAATTCACCTGTACCGCATGTCTTTGGACTGTGGGGGAAACCGGAGCACCCGGAGGAAATCCACTTGAACACGGGGAGAACATGCAAACTCCACACAGAAACGCCAACTGACCCAGCCGAGGCTCGAACCAGCCGTCTTCTTGCTGTGAGGCGACAGCACTACCTACTGCACCACCGCTGCGCCACTTTATTTGTTGAGTGTACATAGATTGCTAAATGACCATAAACCATTTTCTCAGATGATGACAAGCTAACAAAACATTGCTGCAACTATGGTGCAAGTTTTATTTATGTAGATATTTAAAAAGCTGTGCTTTTCATGTGATGTTTCATAAACAAATTTCGGGAGGAGCACGATTAGTCTTTGATAAGGCTAATTCATCACAGTTAATAATTCTATAACCCAATTAGCTGGAGACCAAACCCCTATAAATAGTCAAACCCGTCATACTGTACCTCCATTTTCTCTTGACTTCAGCATCCATCCACAACCCCAGCTCCACATTATTAAACCCGATACCTAACTTTTTAAAGCGCGAAAGAGATCGCATGCTGTTGTGTGTATGCCCTTGACTGAAGGACTTTTGGAGCTATAATTTAAAAATAAATTCTACAGTGTAGATGCTTAAAGCACAGGTTTTTATTCTATTGTATTTAATTTCCTTTTTCTTACTTACAGTTAGGAAAATAACTATATATACAGTACAGTTGATGTCAGAATTTTTAGCCCTCCTGAATGAATAATGACACTTTTCCCCCTAAATTCTGTTTAACGGAAAGAAGATTGTTTCAAGGCATTTCTAAAAATAATAGTTTTAATAACTCAATTCAAATAACTGATTTCTTTTTTTCTTTGCTATGATAATAGTGCATACTATTTGACTAGATATCCTTTAAGATACTAGTATTCAGCTTAAAGTGTCATTCAAAGGCTTAATTAATTAACTTAATGGGGTAAGTCATTGTATAAGAGTGGTTTGTTCTGTAGACAATCCAAAACAAATGTTGCTAATTATAGGGGCTAATTATATCGACCTTAAAATAGGTTTCAAAATATTTACACCTGCTTTTATTCTAGCCAAAATAAAACAAATAAAACTTTCTTCAGGAGAAAAAAATATTATAGGTAATACTGCGAAAAACTCCTGAGTCTGTTAAACATCATTTAAGAAATGTTTATAAAATAAAAATCACATAAGGGTAAATAATTTTGACCTAAACTTTAATCTTTTGAATAATCGTGATTACAATTATAACTTAAATAATTGTGATTATGATTTTTCCCATAATCCAGCAGCCCTACCGGGGGTTCAGGACCACTGTTTTAATAACATATTAATTGACTTGCTCAGTAAGACTTATAAAGCCTCTTGATTTATTCTAGAATAAATAAATTTTTTTGAAAAAATTAATGTCTCAATCATAAACGCAGTCGTTTTTCACCACCTTGCGATCTACCACTGGAAAGAGTGGCTATAAAATGATGTTGAAAAATAACGAGTTTCTTATTTTAAAAACCTAATATCTGCAAAAATCACCTATACCCATTTCTTGACGTCATAAAATTGCTTTGAAATAGCTAGTCACTCTGGGATCTTGTTACTATTTCAATGGAGGGAGGTTTTTTCTCATAGCAGAAGATTTTCTTTGGTAATGTGTGCTGTTTAATGTGCTTTTCACTGTGTGTAAGGACCGTATTGATTTAGGGGCCTGGATTTATTTACCAGCCAAAGCACCAGCGGCAGATTTTTCCCTTGTCCATACCGAGCGTTTGTTTTGATTGTAACACTCTCTCAAAGCACACACCCTACCACGCATTTGACGCATGCGTCTGCGCTGTTTCCTTGCTATGGCTTCAGTGTGTATTTATCCAGCAAATCTATGTTAAACCAATGTCACCTTAACACAACATAAACCATGTCTGTGCTCTGGGCTTGGAGGTGTCGTTGCTCTGTAATGAAAGCAGGACCGTGCTTTCCCAAAAAAATTTAAATTAAATTCGGACACACGTCTGTTCCTCTCTGTCGTCAAGCATTGTTTTGAGGGGTTCTGGAGAAATACAATGAAGCCTAATATGTTCCTGACAGAACTGAGGCATGTTTCCTATTTAAAAAAAATAAAAAATCAGATTTCCCTCCGGACCAGCAAAGTAGAGCTGCAAATCCAATGTGTCATCAAGACGCATTATGTTTATAGTGACAAAAAGAGATTCTGGAATTGAGAAAGAGAAGGAAAACATATCCATTGTTATAAAGCATTTAATCAAATGAATTTTTTTTAATTTATTTAAAAATTAATTAAGAGCTTGTAAACAACATTAAAACAACAGTAAGCTGTGCATGACACCTGCCTAGCCATACTGTAGCTGTTGTGAAATTATTCAAACTTTCAGTGGTCTGCAATTAGGCTGATGTTTACATGTATATGTGAGATTTTACTTGATTTCTGGTAGTTTACAGATGTGGAGAAATTTTATTGACATATTTTCACAATAAAAAAGTTACTGTTGTCTTGATTTGATCCCAGGTATTACAGAATATACACTGTACAGGGTTTTCGCTTAGATTTTTTCCAGCTGTGGCGGCAGGCCTTTTACACAGATCTAGCAACTACCTGCGGCGTTATTTACATGACAAATGTCGTGAGCGCAGTATTACAAGTTGAGCTAACATTTATGTAATACGAGCATGCGAATCTCTTTGCTTGTATGCCGATTTTCTCTGTTCATGCACAAAACTATTTTTTTTGTGATTATTTATTTATTACAGAACAAATCCAGCATACATAGCTAGCAGCAACTATATACAAGCTAGGGTTTGCATTAAATGAAAATACATTAAAAATAAATTAATACAATCAAATTAATACAATAAAATAATTGATAAATAACAATACACAGGAAAAGAGAAACTCTGGGGTGAGAAGTGACCTTTATACACCTCTAATATAATGTTCATTATTTTTCAGTCTGCTTTAGTTTATCTAATTATGCACAAAACTTCTTGAATTCCCCCTCAAATATATACACTGCTCAAGTGCAGATTTTCTTGTGCCCTCTCAAATAAACACTGCTGAAGTGCGATTTAGTGCGTTTATGTAAAGAGTATGTCTCCAACATTTATTAGATTTGCTAGGAATATTTATGAATGTCTCCAATAGACCTACAGAGCGGCATTAATGCGTCCTGAAGTAAAGTGAAATGGCCATAAACTCCAGCAAGATTAAGTCATTGTATGCAGAACCATAGACCTTTATCTATAAATAAAGTAAAATTGTGGAAACTGTGTTCATCATAACTGATAGCTACGTCGTGTTTGCTAGCCTCAAGCATCACACACCTGTCAGTCAGCATGTCACCTTAAAGGGTTAAAAAAAATAATGCACAGCACTATTACGATTAAAGAAAAGTTTGTGCTGTTATAATTTACATACCTTTTATGTGTTTTGGTGTGATTATAACCGACCATAAAAAAAACTGAATGTTTTGAATGAGAAGCTGTAATGTAGCCGTGGCGGGATGAATTTTGGTGTGGCGCCCTGCCATGGAAGAATGAATGTAGCAGAAACAATGCTGTATATACTTTTTTTTT